ATAATACTAATTAATATAATAGTTAATAATTATTAACAACTAATAATAATAATTAATATTTAATTAAAATTTAAGTTATAATTAATACTAATTATTATAATAATTAATTAAAATTAATAATAAATAATTATTAATGATTAATAATTAATTATAATAATTCTTATGAATGTTTTTGAACCATTGTTAACTTGGACAGTCAGACCTTTCGGCCCGAAAACTACCGAGGCAACTAGTTCTTTTTCACCCTTAACCTGTTCTTGGGTAAAAAACCATTGACTTGGTTAGAGAATCGCTGGCCCAAGCAGTCAAATCGTCGATTTATTCAACCCGAACATTGGTTCGCGGTTTAAGAAAGTTGTAGAGGATGGAGAGGAGAGAAACTGAGACACGAATTCAAATATGAGATCTAGTATAGAGAGAGAGAGAGAGAGAGAGAGAGAGAGGTTGGAGAGAAATCGACCTTAGATATTGGATCTTAGATTTGAGATTTTCGTCAGTTGCCGCTGCTTCCCCGTCGCCGTTGCCATTATCATTGCCGATGAGCATTGAATCCTCCTCCTCTTCTTCTTCCATCCATCCCTCCTTCATTCCTTCCTTTCCTTTCTTTTATTTTCTTTTTTTCCATTCTCTCATTCCTTTCATTCCTTTCTTTCTTTCTTTCTTTCTTTCTTTCTTTCTTTCCTTCTTTTCTGCTTTCTTTCTTTTTTCTTTCTCACCCAATAATTCCATAGTCTCTTTTCCTTTATCATATAAAACTTTTATATGAGAATATTTGCCCTAATAATGTAAACCGTCTGAACTGTTTGACTCGGAAACTGGTAGCTAGAGCGGTTCTATTTTTTATTTGGTTTTTAAAATCTTGATCTGTATTAATTAATAATTAATAATAATTACTGTAATAATAATAATAATTAATAATTAATTTACTATGACTAATATAATTATGATTAAGTATTAATTATTAATTATTAATCAACTTTTAATTATAATTGTTATTATAATTAATAATTAATAATTATTATTATTGCATATGAGGCCCTTGAGTTATAAGGAGGGAGAAGTGTTTAGTGTTTTGGGAGTATCATTGGAAAACAAAAAAATATAAGATTCCACTTTTAGAGAGAAGAGAAAAAAGTTGTAAGATTCCTCTTAAGAAGTAAGAGTTCAGAGAAAACAAAGAGACCCTTAACCTCGAATCTGTTACAGTTTAAAGGAAGATGAAGAGGACGGAGATGGAGATGAGTTACGGATGAGGTTTTAAAGTTCGCTCAAGAAATGTCCATGAGACCAGAATTCTGGGTTGATGTCCCGTTATCCATGAGACCAGAATTCTGGAGTTCGCTCAGTGGTGGTCTGTGATCTACCATTCTCAACTACCGTTAAATTAATTCAAAAGAAATGATAAATTCAAAACGAGGGGGTATGGGGGAGAAACAAATTACACAGTGGTGGCTTGTGATTAGTTGGTTCGATTTTGCCAGCGTTTGATCTCAACTTGATTTCAGAAGAGCGAGCTTGTTATCATCATCGCAACCTCTTTATTCCCCAGATCTCCCCCAATTAAAAAAATAAAAAATAAAACAAAAAAGGAAAGTTGGGAAATTTGAGTGAGGGGGACAACTCATAAACAGACCCATGCCAAAACCCTAAATCTAAGACGTTTCAATGATTATAAGGAGAAAAAATAAAATGAAAGATCAGAATATCGCTTAGTTCAGTGGGGTAGTCAATACAAACTTCTTCCAAAAGAGAGAAACCTGCATTCTGGTCTGTTGAGCTTGAAATTTTTTGAGTCATCACTGTAATGTTCCAATTCCCAGACGTCTCTTGAAAGCAGCATGGCTTTTGGAGTTTAAATCAGTCCCCCACAACGTCCCACAGCACATCCCCGCCATGTATTGGGAACATCTCCTGATGATAATACCCAGAATGATGATGTCATCATCGGGAGATGCTCCCAATACACAACGGGATGTACTGTGGGACGTTGTGGGGGAGCACTTTTGTGGGGGGCTGATTCATTCTCTGGCTTTTGTTGCATCTCTCATCTTTTTTGCCAGGTTGAGAATATTGAATTTCTCTAAGGTTAATACCCAATAACCCAAAGCCAAAGGTTAGAAAACAATATAGCTATTTCAGGAGTGTAATAGTAGAACAAATGCACAACAGATGAGTCCGGATCTGCTACTCACACCAATCTTATAATACATTTCAACATACATGGGAAACATTTTCCATACTTGTGTGTTATTATTCATGGGAGATATTCCTAATACACGATGGTATTTGGCTGAGAGATCAGTGTAAGGTGTGTTTGTAAGGAGCAAATCCCAATTCACAATAGATTCCTTAAATTCCATGCACGCATAGGATAAGATCTGAGAGAATCAAAAATATTATCCTTATTCCTTATCAACCACAAAGCATTTGCAAATTCTCCAAAAAAAAAAAAAAACAAGATATGAATCTTAGGAGAATCTTCAAATTCCAAACCTTCCTATCTAGAGATCACTTAACCCAAGGAAGGTATATATCCTGCCTTTCACTCCAATAGAAGTCTATAAGAGATAACTTACCGTCTTGATTTTTGTCCATATAATTTTATCAGAATTCCTATTTTTAAAAATGTGAATATTCACATTGTCTTTTACAAAATTATCAAGAAATGCTTCTTTAAAGCTATGTTTGGTTTGAAGGAAAAAGTAGAAAAAGGAAAGGAAAGTTAGGAAAATCTTCACAAATCTTGTATAGGTTTCTTACCTTTTCTTTCTTTTCCCTACTTTTTCCTTCAAACCAAACATAGCCTAAGACTCCTAATATTCCATTATGTGGAATTGTATGAAATAAATTAAATCCCTGATTATCGTTTACCAAAAAATAATCCTTGATTATCAGCTCTTCAGTTTCTCTAGTTGTGGGGTCCAAGGAAAATATATTTAATTCAGAGAAGACTCTCATCAGGAGACAAACTCAACAACGCTTTAGCCAAGGACTTCAAACATGAGAAGCTGACAGAATGATTTTCCTTGGAGTGTTATTATTGTTAGTAAGGTATTTAGCTATGAGCAACCTAACCACAGGGGATAGTTTTCATTCAGGAGCCTCCAAACATGCTTGTGATGAATAAATCCTTTCAGCTTTTTTGGAAACACAGAGATTCTCCAAATTTCCACCAGGACTGCTGAATTTTAGAATAGCGTTCAAAACCTTTTTTTTTTTTAATGTTTGGAAATTAGTCATAACATGATTAGGGAATGAAAGAAGCTTTTCAAGAACAAAGCATACTTTTCATCTTATCCAATAAGAAACTTTATAATTCACTTTTATTACTTTTTGAAAAATGAGTGACATCCAAATCTATCCGTATCTATACTATATAATTAAGTCAAAAAAGATAAATCAGACTATCTTCGAATCGGGGTATATTCAAATCTAATTAAAGATTTGGTTGGATTGTACAAACATCAATTCTAATTTGAATCTATTAAGAATGTTGGATATTTGAATCTGATCTAATTCGATTTAATTTTTAAAAATTTTAATAAATTATTAAAATAAAAAAATATAATAGTTTATATAAAGAAAAACAAAAATATAAGTATTTTTTTAACTATTTTTATTATATATATACATATTTTTCATAAAAAATAAATAATATAAAAATATAATACAAAAAAGTATACATGTTTTTTCCAATCCAATTTGTACCCTACACTGTTAAATTTGAAAGCAGTAACTAGGAAGGATAAAGACAGATTGGGAAAGTGATTTGACTTTTGATGCTTTGGAAAATTTACAATTGCTAAAAATAAGTATAAGTTTCATTAAACCCTTCTTGTGTGGTTCACTGCATGGGCATCCATTCGGTTCTTTGATCAAAAGGAAACCAAACCTTATTTTTAGGGATGAAAATTAATTAGGTTAGATTTGAATCAAGATATATTTGAATTTGATTTGATAAATTATAAGTCCAATCCAAAGATTTGATTGAATATCATATATATTGATTCGGATTCAAATTCAATAAAAGTGTCGGATATTTAAATTTGATTGTTAAAAATTAAAAAATTATTAAAAGAAAAAGAGAAAATTCAAATTGATACTCCTTAGACTCCCTTAAAACATTCACAACTTTGAAAATGTAGGAAGTTCCTCATTATTACATAAAAGAATTTATATGCATGGTTGGGATTGGGAGCGATACCAATTGAATGTTGAATCTCCACCAAAGCAAACACCAACCGGCCAACCCCTTAGAAGGCTTAATTTTAACACTTGGGATTTTCTACTCACTTTTCCTATCCATTCTCTGCCTGTCGTGAATTGGAGCCATACATCTCTATTATGAATTGAGAGATGTGTGACTCCAATTCACTGCGGATAGAGAATGAGTAAGAAAAGTGAATAAGAAATCTGGGCTCTAATTTTAACCCACCGAAGTACTCATCCCCTCCCTCCTGTGCATTCTTCTCAAGAATATAATCCTAACTACTTAACTTCTAAACTTTGAAAAGGCAAACAAGAGGTTCCAGCTGATTATTAATAAATAAAAAGAAGTCACATGGGAGCCATACCAGTTCAATGAGTCCAATCTCCTCCATGAAAGCAAACCAGAGTTCCTTCAAAAACTTGGACCAGAAAGCAAGATGATGACGCATCTTTACATTCATCCTAGTCATGATCCATTTGGTCCCCATTAAAAAAACCAAAACAAAAGAAAAGAAAGAGCAGCAGGTAGAATCTCAGGAACAAACTTCTGACCAAACATAAGCCTCCATGAACAGTAAAGCACATCAAGGGAGGAAAGAAACGAGAGACTAAAAGGAAAAAGTAGAGAGTAGCCTCCTTTCGACCGGGGAATCCATTTTAGATTTAATGAGAAGGTAATTGATTTGCATTTGGAAGATTACTTGATTGAGATGGGCTGATTGAGCCCATATATATATATATATATATATATATAGATATAGATATAGATATAGATATTTCATGACCATCAATCAACAGTTCGACGGGATCGAAGAAATAATTGTGGGAAGAAGACCATCAAATTCATTTTCATACATTGAGATCATTTAATTTGAGGCATCCTGCAGCAGAAGTCTTAGGTTGAATGGCGAACCTGCAAATTGTCCCTGCTTATAGTAATGTGGAGGCTCAGTACGTTGAGATGATGGTGCCCCTCTATTCCTATGGCTGCGAAAAGAAAGTGAAGAAGGCCTTAGCCAATCTCAAAGGTAAACAAATGAAGGACCTTTGTTTGTCTCCTCGATCTCTCTTCTCTTGTAAGAGATGAGGCTGCCCCTCTACTCCCCATGCTTGTTAATTTGCTTTCCTCTCTCAATCCTCCCTAGCTAGCTCTCTTGATTAATTATATAGCTAGAACAATAATAATATATAACTATAAAATACGTAAATACATGAATAGATGCATGCATGCATGGTGGCAATGAATGCATGACCCCTCTACCTAACCTAATTAAACATGGTTAAATCAATGGATTAATCAGCTTTTCATTTTAATTAATTTGATTTTCATCAGGGATATACTCGGTGACTGTGGATTATAAACTCCAGAAGGTAACCGTGTGGGGCATCTGCAACAAATACGATGTATTAGCAACCATCAAGAGCAAGAGAAAGGAGGCCCGTTTTTGGGATTGTGATGACAAGACTGATGAACCGTGCTGTGCTATTATTCCTCAGTCAGTTGAATCAGTTATCCCCACCAAGGGTCGGATGTCCTTGAGTTGGAAAGCTTGGAAGAAGAAGGTGATTAAGTACTACCAAGGCTGAATAAAGAAATACAATTTACTAAAATTACTATTGAGATCGAATCCCATTGATTGTTAACTAGTACTGTCGCTTCTCCATTTGCTTTATTCCATATAAATGTATATGCACTGTAAATTGAACAACCTTCATTGTAAATATTATATTATGTGGTCATCTAATAATTTCAACTCTGCATCCCTCCAAGCTCAGAGCATAGTTGCAACAAGGGATTTTTTTATTTCCCAATGTGAGGTCGGAATGGTACCGTCCATAGTATAGCCTCCCGCCCCCTCCTTTCTGAGTTTCTGTGTTTCTGTACGTATATGTATTTGCTAATCCAAAGTTCCAAACCTGGTCTAAAGCTTTATATACATGTTTTCACATGCCAAACTCAGCAATTCATTCAATAGTAAAAGAATGCTAGAAAGAAGTTATAGTTTGATTCAAGGTCTGATAATTTAGTAAAAAAATATTGAAGAAATTTTGGCAAGAGATACATGTGTTCAATTTGTTAGTTTTTGTTCTGAACTTTTTAAAAAATAACGTAGAATTTAGTAATTTTGATGTATAAAAGGAAAAAAAAAATTAACAATATGTCAGATTTTTGAATTGTTAGAAATACGTTTTTCTATTACATTTTTAGAGTTTTAAATGTGCTGAAACCGTTGTCATTTGGAATGTTAGAACCTATGGAAAATGTCAGTTTTATATATAGTTTTAACTAGGGGTGATCATTGGCCTGGACTAGTTAAAAAATTTCTGGGATTAGGCCTAGGTTTTGCATCTAGCCCAGCCAGGTGGACGCTTACATCAATCCAAGATGAGCTTGGGCCCAATACATATAACATTATGTAACATTGGGGTCGTGTTTGTTTTGGGGGAAGTTGGTCAATGGGATTGTGGTTCCATTGACTGCTTTTCCCATGTTCATTTTTCATGTTCACGTAGGATCCATGGAAAAATAAGTATCACTTATCCAAACAAATGAAGTGATACCCATCTCCCAATTGAGTAAGTAACGTTCTCATTAGGGGTAAAAATTGACAATATGTTTTAAGATAATTTTGTCCATTCTAAAATGGTTTTTATGGACAAAAGAGACATTGTATAATTTACCTAAGAATCAAATGAACATAAGTAAATTCACTTACCCAAGTAAGTGTTTTCCAAGGTAGCACTTACCATCTGGGCTAGTGAATTTACTTGGGTAAATAGCTCTCTGAAAAATGATTGGGGCCTAATAGAGACTTGTGCGATCCACAAGGTAGTGTTAAAAGATAACCACATATAATTGGGATGATGATTGGATGATGATGATGATGATGATGATGATATCAGAAGATTAGAGTACCCGGGGTATAGACCTGGGCTAGGCACTCCAATACTTAAGTTAGCGACGTGAGCATTTGGTAGCAGAGAGCTTGAGAAAGCAAGAGGGAATAGATTGCACTTACTGCACATACTTTCTAGTGAAATTGTAAGGACCTTTTATAGGCATCGGGGTTCGTGTTTCCTATCCAAGATACATGTGCACGACCGTCCTTATTGGTCTGTTATCTTTGGGTCACATTTTTTCCACATCGGCAATGATCCATATCTGAACTTCTCGAATTGTGCAGAAATTGTAGATACATGTACTAGGTAGGCAACATGCCGCCGCCTGGCTCAGAGTCAATAGATGTGTCGTTCCAGATAAGGGTGTTCCACTACGTAGGCCCGGATTGGGGAGATCATGCTGATCTCCGGGGTCTTTGGCTTGTCTCCCCGAGATGGTATGTGCGGCCCAGTCGTGGAGTGACCTACTGGCCTCTCACAGGTCAGGATTCAAAGCAGACTAGGTAGTTCGGGTCATTTAGGTCCTGTGCCACATGGTGTCGAGGTGTCGTTAGATGGTTTGGGCTCACCACGTGTCTTCTTGTGGTAGGTAGGCCAAATTACCTCTCATTATAAATATTATTTTATTATAAGTTCAATTAGGTTTGAGCTACTCAAGCCAGGTATTATGAAGCTTGAACTTGGCTTGACTAACTACTCAACTCGACTCAATAATCTTTGAGCCCGGTTCAAGTATTTAACATGCTGTCCTTGAATAGCTAACAAATTGGCTCAGCTTGCTTACACCCCTAACGTAAGACAAGCTAGTAACACTAACACCCTGTTATGTTCCTATCTTGTTTAGCATAAAGAAAAATGAAGTAATGTAGAGTGGGTTAATTTGAAGAAACTCAGGGACCATTTGGTTGCAGTTGGAATCGAAATCAGAATCAGAATCGAAATGGTCTATTTCCATAGTTTATTTGGTTCAGATAGGAATGGGAATGGGAATTGGACTCAGCAAGAATGAGATTTCATTCCCAAGGGAGAGGTAGGGAATGGCCATTCCCTTAAATGGGAGAATGCCACTCCAACAAGAATGGAAATGAGATTCTGATTCTGTCCAACCAAACAGTTGAAATCAGAATAGCCCATTATAATTCTGATTTGGACCCCTATTCCTATGAACCAAACGGGGCCTCAGAGACTCCAAACCCTAAAATAGTCCAAATTAAAAAGAAGATCCGATGCTCTATCGTTAAGAACATGACTCTCGCAAGACTATGTGCAGCCATATTGGTATTTACACACTCTAAGAGAATGGACAACCCTATTGGTATTTCCTTCCTCAAAATATGAAGAGACTTTATTAACAAGAGAAGAGTCATCGATACTCTAATTGGTACTCACATTAGAAAATGATAACTATTAACAACGTTCCTGATCATTTGGAGAGGGATTATAGCTCAAAACACAGAACGATGACAGTAAAAGGATGAGATGCTAGAGGGATTAGTTTAAATTTTGTAAATTCCACTGTTTCCATGTTCTTGCTTCTATTTACACTAGACTGCTAGTACATCCTTTTTGGCCCTGTTTGACCCAGTGAAAAACACAAACCTGATACTCCTATTGTATCAGGTTTCTAGTCCCTATAGCTTTTTAGATTTATACCCTTAGGCTACGTTTGGTTTGAAGGAAAAGGTAGGGAAAAGGAAGAAAAAGATTGGGAAATCTATACAAACCTTATATATATATATAAGGTTTCCCTACCTTTACCTTCAAACCAAACACAACATTAATGAATCTTTGGAGAAGCTTCAACTTCATTACAAAGGTCAAGATCTTTCCCCTTGTCTGCTTGGATACTATTTCTTTCAAGTGATTGGATAGCAGAAGTCACTTTGTATGGTGAGCTAATGTCACCTTAGTTGGGTAAGGTGGATATTTAACCCTAGAGGAGAGTGATTTCTTAGCATAATAGTTGAGATGGATAGATCATATTAACTATGCTTTTCATCTCATGGTATGTGAGCACCATGACTCTTGAATACCCTGCACATTAAATTGTTGGTTGAGACTTGGGAGCCCATAACAAAGGAGCTCACTAAATTGTTCTAGGGATGACTTATTTTCCAGGTACTTGCATATATAAATCTTATAAAAAATGAAACTAGTAGCAGCGCAAGAAGGAAGTGGACCAGTCTCCACCTAGAAGTCATCCAAGCCTTTCTATATTTTAATGCGATATAAAAAGAAAGTAGACTAGTCTTTACTCTACGTATATGCAGGTCAGCCAAATCTACAATTTTAGATGCACAAACAGGGTTAGATATATTATTGGGTTGCTACTTATTATGATCCTTTGGGTTGATTAAAAAAAATAAGAGAGAAATAAAAAATTGAGGAAAAGTTATTAAGAATTTTCTATCAAACTGAACACATCCTAAGAGAAACAATTTATGAATGAACATAAAACTTGCACCAACCTATACACCTTGTATAGGCATGTGTATCAGAGAAAAATTAAAATATGCATGGGAACATTATAATTACTTCAATAAATCATAAAAATACATCAATAACACTTCAATGAAGTAGTCAATTATAATTTTCATTAAAAACTTTATGCTTAATTGTAATTAATAATTATAACACCATACAACATGCATTGACAAAACTTCAAAGTGAAACTATAATTAATAATTATTCTTATTTAAGTAACTACTATCTATTTTGTATTTTAAAAAATTTAAAAAAAATCAATGATAGTTACTATCTATTTATTTCAAGCAAAATAAAATACAAGATATTATGAAAAAAATTGAAAAAATTACCTCTTTTTACAAAATTTTTCAAAACTTTAAAAATATTCAAAAACTTAATGAGGTTTGGAATTTTAGAATTGTTTGGGGGTGAAAGAAGGCTTATTTTGGGGGAGAACAAGCCTTCTTTTGTTTTTTTTTTAAGAAAAAAGAAAAAGAGGTTTTAAAGAACATAAAAGGTGGGGGGGGGGGGCATAAGACCGAACCCTTGGAATTATACAAAGAACAACAATCCTATAAAACCAGCAAGAAATAAACTTTTGATTGGGATAACTTCTAGACCTCCTTAGACTTAGAATTCTTTTTCTTCTTATTCTCCACTAGAACCCAATTGTGGTTTGGGTCATTGTTTTCTTTTGATGTATCACTTTCAATTGGGTTCTCACCATTGCAAGTGTCTACCCTCACGTGGGTAGCTATATAACCATTATCAGTTGTGTGTATTATTGACTTCTCTTTGTACTTTGTAATGACGAGCAATACTAATTTTCTCTTGCATCTTTTTCCATCACCAATCATCAAATCATCCTAGTAAAAAACTGGCACAATAGATCACACAAGATCTGGATTTTGGTTGTTTGTCTGCTTTGATAAATTTTGTGTTTTTATTGTTTGATTTTGAACAGGATTGTCTTCATTGAGAACAATTGGAACCTCAGTTGTTCCAATACTTCCTTCACTAAGAGCAAGATTTTTTCCATGTTTTGATCATCTTGTCTCTTTTCTGATTCTATGTTGGCATTCTGCCGAACATCTTTTGGACTTTGACAATAAACCAGATCAGCCTTAGTAGTTTCACCATCTTCCCCCATAATAGTGGCCTTATCAATCTCATAGGAATCACTTGTTTCAGCAATAGTGGTGGTATGATCTATGCATTCAACCAAAGCAATTGGGACATTGTCTTGCACCACTAGTGTCTCTTTTTGAGTACCAATGTTTCTTCCCAAGGGTGGAATTTTCGGCTCCTATGTTTCTAATTGTATCCGTAATTGTTGGAGCAACTTCCTCATGGGTTTGAATAGCAATGATTGAAGGAGAGCGAGGGA